CTTATTTGAGGCTAATTTAATCAAGAGATGGTATGGTTAATATAACCATACAAATGATTTCCAAATATATGGAAAGGGGTTTTAACCATATGTTGACTGTTCATATTAAAATTCTGTAAACTCAATTACATTTATCACTCATGATTCAGTAAAGTCAGTAATTTATCAAAAAAGAGACCCCCCCACACACACATTTACATAAAGTCCCTCAAGCACTCAGTTTCTTAATGCCATTCAAATTGTTGCTGGCTGCTGTGTAAGAGTAAAATGATGGGATTATTTTTGTTTAATATAAAGGAGGGATATACCACCTTCCCTTCCTCTCTCCTCCCTAGAGTGTCTGTCTCATTGTAAACATCATAAGCTAAATAAGAGGCCTGAGCATTTGATTTGCAATGCAAGATCCTGGGTCTTTCTGATCTGTGGAATTATAAACATATCCTTGTTAAATTTATGAGTTTATCATAGGCTTTGTAAGAGAAAACTGTGACACAACTATTTATTTTCCAAAAGGATGAGAAATGGTTATTGTTTTTTTCCTTTTACTTTACACAGTAAATTTGTGTGAAATTTTACCCAGAGTTTATGGTGACTTTCAAGCCTATAAATCTGATAAGCTATCCCAATAATAAATTGTGTTCGTTCTTGTGTATTCGTATAGAAGATTTTTTTTTTTGTTTCTGACGTTACTGTTCTATTTCCCCCAAATTTGACAAGGTATGGGTGCAGTACCTTTGCAACAAACATCACATCTATGAATAAAATATGAAATCAGACTGTCAGATACATGGACATTATATCAAATTCCTTCATAATATACCAATTTAACTTTAGAGTACTCATTTTTTCTCTTATGATATTTTTATAACGTCTTTATAATTTTATTTATATGTGTGTTAGTCAGCTTTGCATCACTGTGACAAGAACAACTTAGAGGAGGAAAAGCGTATTTTGGATCCAGTAACAGAGGTTCAGTCCATGGTGGGCCAACTCCATTGATCTGGGCCCAAGTTGAGGTAGCAATCATGGAAGGGCATGGTGGAAGAGTGCTGCTTCATTGAAAGCAATCAAGAAACATGGAGAGGGAGGGAGAAAGAGGCCACAGTGAAGAACAGCTCTTCCAGCAACCCACCTCATCTAGCCATGATTTACCTACTTCCAGTTACCATCCAGTCGGTCCATTCAAGCTAGGATATACTGATTAGGTTAGAACTCTCACAATTCAATCATTTTACCCCCAAACATTCTTGCAACAGTACAAACAGATTTGGTGGGGGAGAACACCTCATAACCAAGCCATAACATGTACATGTGCACATCTCTTTGTTTTAAATTTATCTAAAATAACATAAACTTGGTTTCCACATTTTCTGTTCCAGAAAATATTATTAAAAGTTAATGATGTTTTCCTGTCACATTAATTCAGTATTCATATATGCCAATGCAACATTGTTATTGCTAAAATTCCATATTTTGACTTCTGAGCAGAATTTCTCTTGGCTCAGGCAAATGACTGAAACTTCCAAAGTAGTGCCAAATTCAGAAGAACCCCATGGATCACACAATAAAATTTAAATTTCATTGAGTGAAACAAATGCTTGGGAGTATACCAAAGAGAATCAGCCATATCTGGGTGGGTTTAAAACAAATGAAGAGAAAAATACAATTACAGAAAGAATGATAAATGATGAAAATAAGCTAACTCTGTATTTTTGATTGCTTTGGGGCTCTGAGCTATCATTCAAACATCACAGCCCTTTGGAACATGAATCCTATGGTGAATCTGACAGATTTGATAATGACAACTGGGAACTTGGTCAAAACACAAATAGTTTCTGGATCCTACCTCACTATGACATAGCAGGAAGAAATATATTCCTTTTTCTGGAGAGCACTTATTTTTTTCCTTTTTTGTTTTCTCTTTTTTTCTTAATTACTAAAGTAAAGAGTGAGTCTCAGAATATAGCATTCAAAGAGTTAGATACTTATAACTGGGAAAAATAATTTCCTAAGGTGGTGCTAATTAGAATTCATCGATGCATGAGATTAATTAGTTGATCACATGTATCTTTCAAGAAGTATGCAATTTAAAATTTGACTTTTGTGTATTTTATTAATGAGGTGAATGTGTACCTCTCAATATTAGTGGGCAATCAGGAAACTGTCAGTTCAAGTGCAGTGAATATAATTAGTGAAAAATAAGTTGAAATCTTAGAAATGACAACATGTACTAGAGGCATATTAAAATAATGAAGAGGATTTTGTAATTAAAGATGTGATACAGACTGTAATATACTAATACTACTAAAAATTAAAATCTTGGAGAACACTATACTTATATGTGATCCTATCACTGTTTAGAAATTATTTTTATTGACAACTGAAACTAGTATTCTTGTTTCCTTTTTCAGTAGCCCTGCAGGAAATGATGACCTACTCCTTAGCACCACTTTATCAAAATACTTCTTAAAGTTATACAACTACACTGTGATTTGGTGTTTCTGCGTTGTTTGGAGGAATATTTTGAAAGAGGATTTTATTCTTGTGGATTTGTATACTTGGTCCTTTTGGCTGTATTGATTTCAGAGAAAATAACTAAATTGTTATTTTGGTTCATGAATAAAATTCATTAGGGTTTGTCGAACATGAGTTAATTCTCAGAGCTGGATCAACTTCTATATCTCAATAACTATAGTTATCTATAACTAGCAAACTTGCTGAGGGATAGAAGTGTAAATTGGCAATGAAAGTAACATAGAATAAACACTCCTCCAACACACACACACACACACACACACACACAATTAATACCTAGTATTTATATAACACTAATTTCTAGGCACTACATCAAGTCCTTTTCTTAAAATAATTGATCTAATCCTTACAACTTTGTAAATTCAGTACTAATCTTTTCATCATACCCACTTTATACATGAGGAAACTGAGGCTGGTGAATGGCTGGACAGAATTCACACCCAAGTAGTCTGGTTCTGAAGTCTGCACCAAACCAACAACTCTACTGCCTACCCCAATAAAACTGTCACTTTGCCATGGGCTTACAATTATGTTCTGCTTTATCTCTCTGTGTAAGTCATGGGCCAAATGTTCAATAATAGTCCTTTCACTCTTTACAAAAGAATCAAGCCTTCTTTTTAGGTAATCATTCTCAGTATAGAAGCTGTTTAGAAAGACTTCATATTAATCTGTAGAGTTAACTCTCATCTTTCTGGTAAAAGCTTCAAAACCTTTGTAGCTCAACTAAGTTTCTCTCTGATCATGTCTTGGAGCTTTCTGTGGCTAAAAATTGAAACAAAGTGTTATGAAAAATTGTGCTGTGAATGGATAATTATGAACGTAATGCATTCCACTATTGTCGTGTATGTAAGAAATTTAAAAAAAAAACTAAAAAAAATTATTATCTACTTCTTTCAAAGCCCATATTCTATTTATAAGTTTATCCTAATGGCTCTACCTTGAAAATATATACAAAAGCCAGACACTTATCACCATTTCCACAGCTATGCATGGTTTAAGCCTCCATCATCTCATCTCAGTCCCTTGAACAGCTTTGTAGCTGATTTTGCTGGGTCTGCCCTCATGTCCCCAGAGCCTATCTTAATACAATAGGCAATGGGATCTTTACATGTCTAGTGGATGGTGCCATCCCTTCTCTGGAGACCCTCAAACTGCTCCCAAGTATGGGTCTTTCCAGGGATTTATAAGATGTTCTATTCCTGACATTGTTTCCTATCACCATTTTCTCTACTCACTCTATTCCAGTTCCACTGAGTTCTTTCTAAAAAATTTTTATTATTTTATTTTATTTTTGGTACCAGGGATTGAACTCAGGGGCATTCAACCACTGAGCCACATCCCCAGCCCTATTTTATATTTTATTTAGAGACAGGTTCTCACTGAGTTGCTTAGTACCTCACCATTGCTGAGACTGGCTTTGAACTCAAAATCCTCCTGCTCCAGCCACCTAAGCCACTGGGATTACAGGCATATGCCCACCATGGCATACTCCACTGAGTTAATTAACCTTCTCACACATGATAGGTATCCTCCTGCCTTAGGGACTTTGGACAGGCTGTTCCCTCTATCTTAATAATTCTGCCAGATACATGCTTAACTAATAGGTTTCTTCAAATTATTCCTTAAATGTCATCTTTTCAATTAAATTTTTCTTGACAGTCTATGGAAATTTATAAATTTGACCCATCCCTATCATCAGCACTCCCATAGTGATTCAATTCTCTTATTCATTATGCATATTGATTGTCATATGTCTTCCTCCTCTTCAAACTAGAATATAAACTCCTTGAGAGCTAGAACCTTGCCCAATGTATCAATTTTGATAATCCAGAACCTAGAAACAGGCACCATCCACTAGTAGTTGATCAATCCATTTGTCAAATGAACAAGAGATGCTAACACATATGTAGTAACATTTGATTAGTGCTTAGTTGTTCATGAGTATTAACACCTTCATGCTGTTACTCCCTTTAATCTTCATGTGCCCATGTGTGCCACAGTTACATTATGTGAGAAGTGAGTTCAATAAAACACTTGGAATTAAGTGTTATATTGAACTCACTTCCCAGATGATGTAACTGTGGCACACATGGGCACAACTGTTCTTTTGAACTCGCTTCCCAGATAATGTAACTGTGGCACACATGGGTACAAATGTCTACTAATTAATTATTAAACATTTTTAATAGAATGTTGAGCACAGGAGCAAAGAAGAAAAGGACAGACAACTGTCATGCAAGATTGAGAAATCTCTGGGCCTTGAGTCAGAAAACTGTTATTTTAAAGAGTCTATTTTGATTAATGAAATAGAATAATTTTTAAATAAAGATAGTGTCCATAATATGGATATACTCCAATGGACTAAATGAAGATCTTCCACCAATTTGTTCCATAGATCTGAGCAAGGAATGTGCCAAAGTTTGAATATTTATGTCCTTCTAGAATTCATAAGTTGAAATACTAACCTGCAAAGTGTTGGTATTAAGAGGTCTTTGGAAAGTGGTTGGGATACAGGGCAGAGTCCTCTTAAACAGGATTAGCTCCTGGTAAAAGAAACCCCAGGCTGATTATTTGCTGGGTCTACTTTGTGAGGTCACAGCTACAGAGGTCACCTGTGAAACACATTCATCACCCACTGAATCTGCCAAAGTCCTGGGCTTACCAGCCACCAAAACTGTAAGAAATGAACTTGGGTTGTTGATACTCAGCCTGTTTAATGGTAGTTTGTTGTAGCAGCCCAAGCAGACTGACAGGCTGCATTATGTCCAGTCAATTGACATAACGATACACACATAAAATAAAGAAAAATTTTTGTGTCATCTTACAAGTAAATAATACTATGGGTAACAGATGTAAAGTCAACCTTTGATATGATTTTTTTCAGTAAAAGTAAAGGGTTATAAATTAAATACATAACAACAATGGTATTATCATTTTGAAAGCATTTTTCACTTTATTAAGTACTTTTATCTTACCTGATTTTATCATCATGGTAACTCTGTAAGAAAGCATTACAAACATTATCACTCCCATTTTACAGATAACACAGGTTTAAAATGTGTAAGTTACTTTTCTAAGACCACACAATTGACATACCTAGGATTTAAAATTAGGGCTCTTTCCATCAAACCAATCAAACAAAAATGCCTGAAAATAATTGTGAAGCAGAATTGTATATTCTCCAAAAAGTGTTAGGTGGAATATATGAAACTGGTATGATTTTAAAATCAAAAAGCATTATCTACTAACAAATATTTATGGAAAGAATGAAGTTAGGAAACAAAGCCAGCCTTGTGCACAGAAAGGAAACCTGTGTAGCTTAAGTATTTTCTCAATGGTGACAGAAATGACAGCCAAGGGTATTGTGTAAGCGGGAGGTCGGAGCAAAGGTGGAATTGCTGGGAGTGTCAGAATATTTGGCTCTGTCTAAGGAATTTACTGACTAAGAACATTCCCAATCTGTCATCTGACTCTTTGCCAGGTGCAATTAGGGAAGGGAAGTTCTGTTTCTTATTTGCATTCATAAATAGCACAGGACTCCAGAGAAACAAATTTCTGCTGCAGTGACATAAGAAAACACTGCTTGGGAAGTTTCAAAGTTGTATCTGAAGATTTAGGAGTGAATTCTTATTCTCCCTTGAGAATCTGTTTCTTCAGGATCCGGAGTGCATTTTTAGTTTTTGTCTTATATGTATATCTAAGAGGTCTTCAGCACATGGTCATCCACAGGACACCAACAATTGCATCTCCCAACCCATATGCAAAGCAGTGGTAGGAAACAAACCCTCTCATTCTAATGAGAAGAAAAGAACAGCCATGATCAGGACACGTGTGGGCATCATTGCCCATGGTGTGCACTGTACACGTTTGTTTTGTTCCTTTGTAACAAAATAACCACCTTATTTTATATGTTTTTTTTTCTTTTTTAATAACTAATGTAATAAAGAAGACAACTAAGGGACTTTTCTATGCTCTTTCATTATAATTAAAGTATTATTAAAAAGTCTTCTATTTTTATGCGGTATCTTTGGGGATGGTTTGTTACATTCAAACTCAAGCCATTAGAAGTGAAGAGTTTAGAAAGTTAGTTTTTTCACTTTAAAATAAGAACAAATGCCATATACTTCTTCTCTTACCTATGGAGTAAATGGAAAGGGCATATTACAGAAGGCATCTCTAGCTTTACTCTGGCTCATGGGTGCTGACGAAGATGTTAATCAGGAAACGATTTCCCATCCCTGTATGAAGCAGAGCTTTCATGAACCAAGTTCCAGAGGCAGCTTGTAAATTCAGCAACTCTGGGAGTCCCTCAAATCACTCCTCATTCCTCACTTCTATTAGAATAACATGACATATATCAGAATGTACAAGCTGATTTTGAAAACTGATTTCCCTTAAGGCTGTTTGTCTCTGTGGCTTGAAGTATAGGTCAGCACCATGACTCATCTTAATGTGTAGTCTGATCAAGCCTTGAAACATTGCCCACACGATTTTAAAAATATCACAGATAGCCTACTTTGCAGCTTCCATTAGGATAATAGTGGGCAGTTTGGGGAGTTTACGAAATTCTTAGTTTATTCAGTACTGTAAAACTTACAATATCAGAATTTCACACCTCCTCACTTCTGAGAGCCTCTTAGCAGTATAGGTGTGGAAAACTTAGAATTTTGTTTCTGATTGTGTGACCTCTCCCCCCCCCAACTGAATCTCTGGTATTTTCAAATCTTTAGAGAAAGCTCAGGTAAATCCCACCTTCTGTGTTGAATAGAATCACACAGCCGAAACAGACGCTCCTAACCTGGGATTCAAACACTCAGGAAAGTCTTTGAGTGCGATTCACAAGCTCCATAAACACCTGAAATTATACTTTTGCAAATGTGCATTTTCATGAGATTATAACTTTAACTGAAATCTCACAAGAGACGGTGGTTTGGACAGGATGCATTTCTAGTTTGTCACTCTAGACAATTTAGGAATGAAAGAAATAGCCAAATTTTAGTGAAAAGCAAGAGTGGTTCTCATACTGCCTAGGCATTGCTTCTTGTTTTTATTCACTGCTAAAAATGATGAAGAATCTCTTTGTCAATCTGCCACAAAGAGACAGAGGAAAAGGGAAAAAAGAAAAATAAAAACATTCCAGATTTGTTAACAGGAAAAAAGACATGTTACTCAAGAAACATAAATGCTTATGATTTTCAAGTATAAGCTTAAGTGAGTAAATAGATAACTGTTTCTGTCTCCCCAATTTAATGTATCTGAAGGAGTTAGAATGAGTGTAGTGAAGCACTGATTGCAAACAAGACAGTATATGTGTTAGGCTGCTCAGGCTGCCATGATAAAATGTCACAATCTGGTGATTTAAACAACAGAAATTTATTTTCTCACAGCTCTCCAAGCTAGAAGTCCAAGACCAAGGTTCTAGTCTAGGTCAGGGTAGTTTTCTTCCTGACTTGCCAAGGCACATAGGACAGGGTATCACGGGGAGACACAGGGCTAGGGGGCTTCTCTGATTTTTTTTTAATGTTTTTTCCCCTTTTTTACAAGAGACAAGTTCTATTGGATTAGGTCTCCACTCTCATGACCTCATTTAACCTTAATTAACTTCTTATAGGCCCTATCTCAAAATACCGCCACACACTGCAGGTGAGGACTTTACCATATGAATCTAGAGGTGGTTGGTAGCATTGATTAGATAACTGCTCTGTAATTGAAAAAATGTCTCTGTAGCAATGATAGATAGAGAAAGTTGTGTGGAAGGGGATGGTATTCAATTTGGGCTATTAAGGGTGAGCATATTTCAAAATATTGCCCCTATTTTAAACTGATGATTTTCCTTCTAGACACTTTAGATTTGTTTGAAAACCTTTCTTTAACAAGAATTACTCATTTGATTCCAGAGAGTACACTTAAAGAAAAAGAGATTTTTTTTCCACTCATTAGATGGAAACCACATTAGAAGATTAACATGTCTTGTAATGTGATTTGATGAATGAGGTGAGCAATATTAGGAATAAGCTCCCTGTATCTACAAAATCAGGGCAATAAAGGTAAGAGTACATATGTGTGTATGTATACAGACACATGTATGTAGGCTTACAGATGCTGTTTGATTTTTCTTAGCTTTTGGAAGGCAGAGATCCTGGTGCATGCAAAATTTGAATTTGTGCCTACAACACTTAGGTTACAATCTGTTCATTTATCCAGTGTTCAAACTAGCAGTCACTGAGTACTTTATTATGTCAGAAACAAATAATAAAATATGTAAAGAGATGAAATACAGTACAACTCAATGAATATAACTGAAGCAAACTCAGGACAGAGACAGGAATATAGAAAAGAGACCAAAGATTTGGTGAGGTTGTGGAAAGCCTGGCAGAAAAGATAGCACTTGAACTGAATCTGACACAAAGGGTGACAAAAAGAAGGGAGAGCTCATTTTAAATTGAGAAGAGAGTACAGTGGATGTGTAACCGATGTGATTCTGAAATCTGTATACAGGGTAAAAATGGGAGTTCATAACCCACTTGAATCAAATGTATGAAATATGATATGTCAAGAACTATGTAATGTTTTGAACAACCAATAATAAAAATTAAAATAAATAAATAAATAAATAAATTGAGAAGAGCAGCAGCTTATATAAAGCACAGTCATGAAAGGTAGTACTGGGTTAAGATTATACCTCTGAGCTGTATAGAACCCCAAATTGTATGTGATGCCCCTAATCTACATCCATATGCAAAAGAGAGGTAAAAGGTTGAGACTGACTCTCACATACCTCTAATCTGTCAGTTGAATGACCTGTCAATAAATCAGAGTGCACAGCTACAAATAGTCTTGATCTTGAATCTTTCTTGGCCTATCTTTCAATCCTAATGAAAATGATATCTAATAAATGGAAAATACTTTTCTATATTAAGAAAGTAATATTTGAACAAGGACCTAAAAAAGGTAGTCAGTCATGAGACAAGTGGATGTCTGGAGGCAGAATATGAAATATTCTGTCTGAAAGGCAGAGGAAACACTGGAGAGAAGTGTCTGCTGTGTGCAGAGTGGAAGCACCATGGGGCAGGAGAGGAGCACTGGGGGGTGAGGTCAGAGAAGTAGCAGGGAGCAAGTCACACAAGGTCTGACAGACCATTGTTGGGCTCTCTTTGAAACAGAGAGCCACTGAAGGCTATTGAACACAGGAGGCACAAGTTCCAATTTAAGTTTTACGAGGATCACTATGCTTCAGATGGGAGTAGAAACGGGTGGAATGTTAAGGCCATTCATGATAAGGCCATTCATCCAGGCAAGATGTCTGATGGCTTAAATTAAGGTGATGGCAGTGGAGATGATAAGTGAAGGGGCTCTAGATGGATGTTCAAAGTACCTAAGAGCAGTTTTTCTTTTCTTTTCTTTTCTTTTCTTTTCTTTGTTTGTTTGTTTATTTATTTATTTTTGCAGTACTAGGGATTGAACCCAGGGACACTACTACTGAACCACATTCCCAACACTTTTCATTTTTTTATTTTGAGACAATATCTCACTA